TGTTAGAACGAGCCGTTTTAGGTAGGTGTGGCTGACTCTTAAGTAACTTTGATAAAGAATATCTCTTTGGATTTGAGACTTTAGTCTTTGCAACTTTACAGATCTTCTTTATGCACCAAGAGCTTGTAACACTCCAAACAGAAAGGAAAAATTGAAATCTCATCATATGACCCCTTTAAACAATGCATACATATTAGACATTCTGGTCCACACTCCATACCAGGTGGTGGCGGTAATGCACCAATAAGTTGTTTGCCAACCGCCAATAAACCCTAGAAGAAGAAGAAGAAGAAGAAGAAGAAGAAACGCGATAGGGACAGCAATTTTGGGCGGGTTTTGTAGTGAAAACCTGGCAACCCTGCGCGGCATGCATCTCTCGGTGATCCGTTCTGCGCAGCTTTGGTTCATCTCAAACGAGCCTATTGTTGTTTAATGGCAAAAAAGTTTAAGATTAGCCGATAGTCTGTCGATTCATTAAATGATAAGCTGTTTCTTAACAAAAGTTGTTTGTTCAGCGTATCGAAGCCTCTCATCTATTGACATACATTCAAAAAACGGCTTTGGTCTCCTTCCCTGCATACAGCCATAGACTGTATATAAAGGTACAGCCAAAGCAGCAGCGGCAACATTGTTACATTGTTACGCTTATTTGTCCAAAGGTTCCAGAGAGCCACGCGTCATCACGGCTGATCAGAACTCGTTCACGGTTTTGTAAATTTGTACAGCTCTCCCGAGAAGGCATAAGGTGTGTATATATTTGTCTACTGTTCGTTGTAACAAGTATTTTGTGAAATTCGTTGAGTATGTTATAATATTGTAGTGGAGAGAGTGTTTATGAATTAGACTTTAATGTGCATTTTGTAGGCTTCTGTTTTATTCAGCTCTTGCGGTGAAGAACCCTGCAGAATGAAAGATGAAGATACAGAGAAACAAACAGGTTGGTGTTAAACTTCGTTCACTATAATTACCGATGAGGAACATTAAGATGAAAACTGACATGTGTGTGTATATATATATATATATATATATGGGAAATTAATAGGCTTATGTTGATTTTAGAGTCGATGGGACTGAAAGAAGACAAGCAGCATCAGTTTGAAAAACCTCATCATTTTAAAAATGAAGATGGAAATGCAGTCATTTCACAGACTGAACAGAATTTCACACAAAAACAAGCTGGAAAAACTGGAGCCAAAGCATCTTTCACATGCACTCAGTGTGGGAAGAGTTTCAGCCGTACATCAAACCTTAAGAGACACGTGAGATTTCACACTGGAGAGAGGCCTTTTACATGCACTCAGTGTGGAAAGAGTTTCTTTGTCAAACAAGAACTTAATGTGCACATGAGAATTCACACTGGAGAAAGACCGTTCACATGCACTCAGTGTGCACTCAGTTTTAAATCTAAAAGTGTCCTGAAAAAACATCAGCTCTCTCACACTGGAGTGAGATCATTCAGCTGTGATCAGTGTGATAAAACATTTGTTTTCGCATCATACTTAAAAGAACATCTTAAACTTCATGCTGGTGTAAAGCGTCACTTTTGCACTTTTTGTGGAAAGAGTTTTACACAACCGTACAGTTTACAAGTTCATCAGATTATTCATACTGGTGTGAGACCTCATGTGTGCTTTGACTGCGGAAAGCCTCAGTGACCAGCACGGATCAGCTCTAGGCATGACGAAGCGGATATCGTCCTCTTTTGGAAGGCCAAACAAAGTAGTTTCGCTTTCACAACGAAGCACACAGCGTCTTCACGACATGGCTGCAGTGTCAACAATACTACAGCGAGAATAAAAGTTACGCTTTCTTTCTTTGCGTGAACATTTGGGCAGCGTTATGCAAATCTTCCCACATGGTGACGTAGACATGTGGGGCGTGTTAGAACGAGCCGTTTTAGGTAGGTGTGGCTGACTCTTAAGTAACTTTGATAAAGAATATCTCTTTGGATTTGAGACTTTAGTCTTTGCAACTTTACAGATCTTCTTTATGCACCTAACACTCCAAACACTCCAAACAGAAAGGAAAAATTGAAATCTCATCATATGACCCCTTTAAACAATGCATACATTCTGGTCCATCTGGTCCACACTCCATACCAGGTGGTGGCGGTAATGCACCAATAAGTTGTTTGCCAACCGCCAATAAACCCTAGAAGAAGAAGAAGAAGAAGAAGAAGAAGAAGAAACGCGATAGGGACAGCAATTTTGGGCGGGTTTTGTAGTGAAAACCTGGCAACCCTGCGCGGCATGCATCTCTCGGTGATCCGTTCTGCGCAGCTTTGGTTCATCTCAAACGAGCCTATTGTTGTTTAATGGCAAAAAAGTTTAAGATTAGCCGATAGTCTGTCGATTCATTAAATGATAAGCTGTTTCTTAACAAAAGTTGTTTGTTCAGCGTATCGAAGCCTCTCATCTATTGACATACATTCAAAAAACGGCTTTGGTCTCCTTCCCTGCATACAGCCATAGACTGTATATAAAGGTACAGCCAAAGCAGCAGCGGCAACATTGTTACATTGTTACGCTTATTTGTCCAAAGGTTCTAGAGAGCCACGCGTCATCACGGCTGATCAGAACTCGTTCACGGAAAGACGGTTTTGTAAGTGTATTCAGAACCCCCGAGAAGGCATAAGGTGTGTATATATTTGTCTACTGTTCGTTGTAACAAGTATTTTGTGAAATTCGTTGAGTATGTTATAATATTGTAGTGGAGAGAGTGTTTATGAATTAGACTTTAATGTGCATTTTGTAGGCTTCTGTTTTATTCAGCTCTTGCGTTGAAGAACCCTGCAGAATGAACGATGAAGATACAGAGGAACAAACAGGTTGGTGTTAAACTTCATTCACTATAATTACCGATGAGGAACATTAAGATGAAAACTGACATGTGTGTGTATATATATATATATATATATATGGGAAATTAATAGGCTTATGTTGATTTTAGAGTCGATGGGACTGAAAGAAGACAAGCAGCATCAGTTTGAAAAACCTCAACATTTTAAAAATGAAGATGGAAATGCAGTCATTTCACAGACTGAACAGAATTTCACACAAAAACAAGCTGGAAAAACTGGAGCCAGAGGATCTTTCACATGCACTCAGTGTGGGAAGAGTTTCAGCCGTACATCAAACCTTAAGAGACACGTGAGATTTCACACTGGAGAGAGGCCTTTTACATGCACTCAGTGTGGAAAGAGTTTCTTTGTCAAACAAGAACTTAATGTGCACATGAGAATTCACACTGGAGAAAGACCGTTCACATGCACTCAGTGTGCACTCAGTTTTAAATCTAAAAGTGTCCTGAAAAAACATCAGCTCTCTCACACTGGAGTGAGATCATTCAGCTGTGATCAGTGTGATAAAACATTTGTTTTCGCATCATACTTAAAAGAACATCTTAAACTTCATGCTGGTGTAAAGCGTCACTTTTGCACTTTTTGTGGAAAGAGTTTTACACAACCGTACAGTTTACAAGTTCATCAGATTATTCATACTGGTGTGAGACCTCATGTGTGCTTTGACTGCGGAAAGACCTTTCTTACATCTAGTGACTTAAAAAAACACCAGAGGATTCACACTGGAGAGAAACCGTACAAGTGCTCACACTGTGACAAGAGTTTCACTGATTCATCAACCTTGAAAACCCATGAGAGAATTCACACTGGAGAAAAGCCGTACCAGTGCTCTTCATGTGGGAAGGATTTCACTCGCTCATTTACTCTAATTAAACATAAGATAAAGCATTGCCCACAGTTGTCTAAGTCACATTCAGATCCATCACTTTCAAGTAAATAAGTCAATATTCAGATTAAGCAAAAGTTGGAATTAGTTTAAATAATTTAATCAAAATTTGGAATACTTAAGTTTACACGAAGTCAAGGGGTTGCCCATTGTATTCAACATTTTGCCTAAAAAAGCACCAGATGTTTTTCTATTTATATATCTAAAGTGATTCTTCTCGTAATATGGACTCTAAATACACACTAAGAGAAGATCAAATTGCTCAGGAAAAGTGAATCTGTTTTGTGTCTCTGGCAATTCAGCCAGAGTGTTTTTCAGTGTAGTAGCAGTTAAATATGTGTAAAGATCATACATTGTATGATTATTATACCTTATATTTTGACAAAACCGTTTGGTATAAATTGTGTTTCTAAGCAGATTTTCCATATGAAGTTATGATGATAATTTGTTAGTGCCACAGATGTTCCTCTGGATGATCTGGATGAATCTTGTGATTCATGAAACCAGGCAACTGATTCAATTTTTCTTGTGTTTCAATTCTTATTTTTATTTTTATTCAGAGATATCTAAATTGGAAAACTTATACATGTATTGTATTAATAATAATATTTGTATAATCCAACCAAGATAACCATACAGTGAATATGTATTTCAAATACTATTCAATAGAGTGTCAGTGATTAAGTAAATTTAATAATATTTTTCTTTTAAAGCAGATTCTGTGTCAGAATAATTCTGTTTACGTATATGAAGGAAACATGGGCAGTACCAGAGATTTGACTATAGTTAGCATGTCTCAGTCAATATCATTTATGAAGAATTGGCTCAAAATCTGCTGACTATGTGAAATCTGACTTCTGTTGCTGTGATCAGATGCCAGCTTTTGTTTTGTGCAGTTGTTGATCTTCCTCTATCTGTTGTCGACTTTGACTGGAATTGTTGAATTAATTGCTGTGCAGTCTGGTCTCTTAGCAAATGATAAAGTCATGTTAAAATATGAGTATCAAATATGATCATCAGGCTTTTAAGGAACGTTTATTTGTTCATCTCTCAATCATCATTGCTTTGCAATGCATTATGTTTTGCAGAGCTTTGATTGTAAAACCAAGCATTTAATTGAACATGAATGAACGTCAAAAGGTATGTTGAAAGAAACGGTAAAAAACTTTACTGCACAGTCAACAAGACAGCAAAACAAGTAAACTGGCTAGAAAACACACTCGCACACATTTATAAATAACATTAGTTTATCATAGTAAAAATTTTTGTTGCAACACAATGTATTAGTAGTCCTATTTATTTATTAAAATAAATACTAATACATTGTATTAGGCTTATTAAACAAACTTATTTGACAATAAAACTATGAACAGATCACTGACTAATTCATTCGTTTTAACTTGTTTAATATTTCTGAAATGGCGAAAAAAAGGAAGTAATATTAAGTCATTTTTTTTATGCAATTATGCACATATTAATACAAACAGAAATATTAAGTCATTTAATGTATATACGTACACTGTGACGTTATCAGCTCCTCAGCACGTGATTAACTTTAACCAATGAGACTGCTGGAATTTTGCATAACTAAGTAATGACCCAACATTCTGGCTTCTTCCACTGGTACCGCCAACATCTGGGCTGCGTTCAGCCCCGACAAAACGGTGCAAAACGTTTTTTAAACGGAAACGGTGGTGTGTTGAACACACTGTTCTGATGGCGCAAGAGTTGCAACTATGGCAGTTGAGAAGGCCATTCTTTGTGTTCTTTTTGAAGAATTTTCAGAGCCTGATGAAATCTGTATAAATACATGTTTAATACTGCAAAATACGCTCGATGTAACAGTCACTGAGAACACAAGAGAACATCCCAATCGAGTGAAGGGATTTGTGGAAACTGTGGTTCCTAATTATTGTGATCCAACATTTGCCTCGCATTTCAGGATGAAAAGACAAACATTTCAGGTGAAGGATAATCCACTTCTTACCTCTGAGACTGTGTTATGATCTATATGACCTTATTATTTTTATTGTGAGTATTAGGCTTATCATTATTGCTGATCACTGTTGTCGTGCTATGTTATTGTAATATTTACCACTATATAATCAGAGGAATATAGAAAAGTTTATGAAAGTGTCACTCCACAATACAATAGCAAAATATATAAATATGTATAGTATTTTTATGTTACATTATTAATCAGTGTCTAGCACACCTTCCTAAGGAAAGGATATG